CTTTACAGACAGCTGCCGGGGGGATATGTCATCTTTCTGATGACTCTTGTTCTCTAATGTGCCTTTTCCTGCAGAAGTCTAAATAACTCTTATACACATAGTTGTATATCATTGTCATATGTTTGTCAATATTACACTGAATGAAGCACTTTACAATTGTTTTTGAAATAGTCGCAACTGATATTGAAGGTCAAATTAGCTTTCAATGTCTTTCAGTAAAAATGTTCACAGTAACTGAGGAACAGCTCTCTGTAGTGTGATGAAATCTGGTACATGTCACCCTCAGAGTGAGGCATATTGTGTTTCAAACTTAAATGAAGCTGGTATGCTCATAACAAGTACTTGTACCTTTACAAATAATCATATTATCATCTCACTAGGACCAAAGGCCCAAGTGAGCACACAGTCGATGAGTTTATACTTTCACTCAGAATAATCTGGAAGTCTGAACATGAAATTTAAGGATATCATCATACATGTATTAGAACTGATGTTTGTTCATTAAACAGCTTAACATCTAAAAAGAATTATAGATGAAATTGAAAAAAATTGTCTTCTCCAAAAGTACATGCCCATAGATCTCAACTTTAAGGGGATATTTACAACTAAAATGACACAGAATATTACTACAGCTATCTGATATGCCCAGGCTAACATTATTTACCAGAAATAAGACATCTCGAAAAATTGCATCCGGATACCTGCCGGATACCTGCCGGATACCTTCAGCAATGTTCAATTTTTATGGTTAGTTTCCAATATATATTTAGGTGTTTCACACTTAATTGAACAAAATGCACCCCCAAATTGTGACATGTTTTTGGAAACTCAGAATGAGGTATCCGGTGCCGGATTCTTGGTATCCGGTGCGGATCCTTGGACACCCAGATTGAGGTATCCGGTGAGGTATCCGGTGCCGGATACCCGGATTCCAGGTGGCATACTTTCAGGTGAGGTGTCCATGCCGGATACCACGGATCTGGTATCCGGCAAGGTATCTGCCACCGGATACCCGGACGCGTTTTGGGTAAGTGTCCGGTGGTATCCGGCAGGTATCCGGATACCGGAAACTGCATTTTTTTTGCTGTGTTAATGCCGAGCGCCAGACAGGGTAATAACAAGTACAATCTTGTAACGTCTTTTAGCATGACGCGGTCGGGGATCGAACCCCGGACCCGAACTCCGGACGCTCTCCGGGCGGACGCTCTACCATTAGACCACGGAGACGGTCCCAAAGTTATGAGACTCTGTAGGCTCACCTTATGCAATATTCGTAATACCATGTGTAACAAAGACTTATTCAAGTAATTAACCATGGCCATGGTACACTGACTACCAAACTCATGGGTCTTAGTATGACTAGGACTTTGGCATGATGTCATGTCCAGCGAAGACATCTTTCAAGTATGTTACCATTCTCCTTTTGCGTATGATGTCCAGTTTCCAAATAGAAAAAGGAACACATTGCGGTATAGAAGACATTGGTGAGAATGTAAGCACCAAAGTCATGACGTCCAGATGGCCAACACGCATCTGAATTTCACAAGAACCAGTTTTCCTTACAGTTTTAATATCACGAGAAGCAGTTGTCCATTACAGCTTAATATTAATATCACGAGAACCAGTTGTCCATTACAGTTTTAATATTACGAGAACCAGTCGTTCCTTACAGTCCTCATATCACAAGAACCAGTTGTCCATTACAGTCTAATATCACAAGAACCAGTTGTCCCACACAAACTCAATGTCACGAGAATAAGTTGTCCCTAACAGTCCTCATATCACAAGAACCAATTGTCCTTACAGTTTTAATATCACAAGAACCAGTTTAGCTTACAGTCTAAATATCACAAGAACCAGTTGTCCCTTACAGTCTTAATATCACAAGAACCAGTTTAGCTTACAGTCTAAATATCACAAGAACCAGTTGTCCCCCACAATCTTAATATAACAAGAACCAGTTGTCCCTTACAGTCCTAATATCACAAGAACCAGTTGTCCCTTACTGTCTTAATATCACAAGAACCAGTTGCCCTTACAGTCTTAGTATCACAAAAACCAGTTGTCCCTTACAGTCTTAATATCACAAGAACCACATGTCCCTTTCAGTCTTAATATCACAACAACCACTTGTCCCACACAACCTTAATATCACAAGAACCAGTTGTCCCTTACAGTCTTAATATCACAAGAACCAGTTGCCCTTACAGTCTTAGTATCACAAAAACCAGTTGTCCCTTACAGTCTTAATATCACAAGAACCAGTTGTCCCACACAATCTTAATATCACAAGAACCACATGTCCCTTTCAGTCTTAATATCACAACAACCACTTGTCCCACACAACCTTAATATCACAAGAACCAGTTGTCCCTTACAGTCTTAATATCACAAGAACCAGTTGCCCTTACAGTCTTAGTATCACAAAAACCAGTTGTCCCTTACAGTCTTAATATCACAAGAACCAGTTGTCCCAGTCTGCCTACACTGGTCGTAATGGAATGTTTAGGATGAACCCATTCCGCTTATCAAGATTCAAGAGATAAAAGATTCTTTATTCAGTATTTTGGGCCATGTGGCCTAGAGTACAATTACAATTACAATAATTGCTGCGTCACGTGATGTCAGGAAAAAAAATACAAGTAGTCTTATTTCACATTAAATACATGATTTAAGTATAAGGCCAAAGCCTTTACAATGTTGATATTTTTGGAGTTGAGTAGATTACATAAACTGTGATTATCATGATGGACATTGGATAACCAAGGCAAATAGTGGTTTCTGACAGAAGAATATTTTGAACATATAAACAAAACATGAAATTGATCCTCTAATTGCCTCCCTGTACAGTGGGTACATAGATATAAACTCAAGTCTTCATTTGTATGTTTTGACTTTCGTAGCATGTTAATCTTAAAACCGTGTAGCGATATTCTGAATTTACAATATGCTCTCCTGAGTGATTTATTCGTGAGATTACTGATGTAAAATTCTGGCTGTAAAAGTGATTTCAAATTTGCATAATGGGACAGATATTTTGATGAAGAAATAGAGTCATGCCACTCTTGAGAATACATATCACTCTGCCTTTGTTTTATTTTTAGCAAAAAGAGATTTTCATCGCCAATATGTTGAGAGATCCATACAAATGAAATGCCTGAAGAAAACCAAATATATCTTACATCTGACACCCAGGTTTGTTTATCATTATCATCTAACTGTTTAAGTAGATTGTAACATTGTTTTGGATATCGACATTGATTCATACGTAGCAATCTCAACCAGTATTTAAGTACCCTTATTTTGCTAAACACGAACATATTTAATCGTCCAGTTTCACCAAGAATAGCTTTATTAGAGGCATATTTTCCGATACAAAGATAATTTTTAAAATAGGACGTATGTACTTTTTCTATACATTCATAATATTTTGCCCCCCAGATTTCAGCCCCATAAAGTAATATAGGAGCAATCTTACAATCAAACATTGTACAAGCTGTTTCGAATGTTATATAGCTATTTCTTTTGAAAACATGATAAATGGCTCTAGTGGCTTTAGAAGCCTGTGATGCTAGGCTTTTACAGGCCATTGACCAGATTAGCCTTGAGGAGAAAAATACTCCAAGATACTTGTAGTAAGTGACAAGTTTTACATTTATAGAACCATAGAACCATTTTTCATATTTTCGTATAATGCCACCGTTTCGGAAAACAATTGTTTTTGTTTTATCAAGATTGACACTTAGGCCCCAGGTAATGCAAACATTTCTTAAGATATCTAATTGTCTTTGTAGACCAATAACTGTATATGAGAACATAGTCACATCGTCGGCAAAAAGTAGTAGCATAATATCTTCAATACTTTCTGAAACAAACACACCATGACAGCACGTTTTATAAATGTCAGTTACAAGCTCATTAATTAAGAAGATAAACAGAAGCAGGCTTAAGATACAGCCTTGTCTTACACCGGAGCTAGTTGTAAACAAATCTGTTCTGCCTTTGTCTGTTTTTACACAAGCCTTAACAGCAGAATACATACTAGCTAAGACATTGTACAACTTGCCATGGCAACCTTTTTGTAAGAGCATATATAATAATTTTTTCCTTTCCACAAAGTCAAAGGCTTTCTTGAAATCAATGAAAGCACAATAAAATCGCCCCCCTCGCTTTGATAAATATTTAGTACAAAGAGCCTGGAGTGTGAAAATGTTGTCTGTTACTGAATAGTTGGATCTGAATCCAGCTTGTGCTTCATGTATTAAATCGTTTATATCCATCCATGATCGTAGTCTTTTTTCAAGTATTGACGTGAATAATTTCCCAGTTGCATTTAGCAGGGATATTCCTCTATAATTGTTGGGGTCAGAGGTAACACCAGATTTATGTATAGGTATTATAAGTCCAATGTTCCATGCTTCAGGGAATATACCGGTATCTAATATTTTATTAAATAAAGGTCTCAAGTATTTAATAAGAATTGTTTCTGAAAGTTTAAAAAATTCTGGAGGGATTCCATCTTCACCAGGAGATTTCCCGAGTTTTAATCTTTTTAACGCTTCAGCTACTTCTTCATCAGTAATAATATCTGATAACAACTCATCTGTAATGGGTAAGCTATCACAATTATCACAAGAGTGACTGTCAATGAATTCATTTACAAGTACATTCAAATCTTCATTCACTTCTGTTTTGTTAGAGTTTAACAAATCTTTAAAATATAACTGAAGAGCATCAGGAGATATTGCACATTTAGAGTGTTTGCTACATAAAACCCGTTTAAGGGTGTTCCAAAATGTTTTACAATTACCATGTTTTGCAGCATCTTTCAAATCTTCAACTATTTTACGCTTATCAAGTGTCACTGACACTGCATATGTCCACCTCGTGTCCACCTTGTCATCCAAGCAGACAGGATTCAGTGACGCATGTTGAAGTGGAAGGTAAGGTTGCCTGCTGAGGAAAACCTTGTAATAGTTTGTATATCGGATTTACCATACCTTCGCGTCATCCGAAACGAAGGACAGGAGATCCCCGTTAGCCATGAAGGGCAGGACCACCATTGGCTGTTGACTCTCGCTCACCGAAATCCCCAACAGTTGGAGGACATTCTCGTGGTCAAACTCCTTCATAACCAGCGCCTCCTCCACAAAGCTACAGAGATCCATGTTCTGGCTGTTATCTGGAACACAGATGCAAATTTTTCAAAACACTTTGTTCAGGACTTCAATCATGTCCAGTGAACAAGATACGTTCTTTTAACGTAACACACAAGGACAGATCAGCTTTTGTTACCTTGTTTCTGAAATAATAAATATCAACATCATCGCAAACATCATCATTTCATGACTTTCATCCACTTGCCGTATGTGAGTGCGAAGATCATATAGGACGACTATAAACAGACTATAAACAGACTCTCGCTTTAAGAGCTTTACTTCATCCGGATAACATACGTAATGATATACATCTAGCCTCGGTCATGAGTCACGAAACTGGGCAGTGTCTCTATCAGCTCCATACATTCTAAAACCACAAATGTTACTGAAAGACATTACAATGACCCCACACCTAATCTACCCCCCAGCCAGTTCCCTTACATATATATAACCAATAACTATTGGATCGTAATAGGGAAACACTACAAATATTCAGAAGGCCAGGCCCTACCCAGCATTGTTTTGATGGCGACTTTCTCAGCCCCTTCTTCTTCCCCAGACTCTGGGTACAACATGCCTGCGTACACACAGCCGAAGTTACCTGCAATAGTGAAGGAGAAATATACATACACCTTATATCGAATCACTGGCTTGAGATATATCTGCGTTTATAACTTGATGGAAAATAAGAACACCTTTCCAAATCACATAAATCGCTCAGCTTTGTTGCGCATTTTATCTACCTGATGTACAAGTAAACGTGAGGTGTGTTGGCGTACATCAGTCCTTAAATGGCTGCACTACAATTGCAGTTAATCCAGATTGAATAGACTGATGTTGCTACCTGAGCCGATCGTAGCGCCCAGTTTCAGCCTTGATGACGGCAGGACGACCTTGTTCTGTTCAATGCGTTGCCTCAGTTCCGGAGATAGCGTCTCTTTAACTCCTCTTGATTCCAATAGGAAGTATAAATTCTGTCCTGTATCGTAAACAATATACAAAAATAGTGAAACGCAAATGAAAAGTGCCAGTCATTATGCGTTATGATAATTATAAACAGGCTGCATACGGCAAAAGAAGATCAAAGGGGATTGGTATGATTATATTTTTTTGAACGACGAACTCAGCAATATTGCAGAAATATGACGGCGGCCTGTTACTTATCGAGTCTGAACCAGACAAACCAGTGATTGAGGTTATGAGCAACGATCCACCCGTCGGGGTACAATCACAAGCAATCAACTAAGTCCCCGAGTCTGACCGCCCGATCCATTAAGTCACCTTCTATGACTAGCATAGACTGGAGTATAATTATGATGCTTGGGTTGACAACACAATACTCTTGTTCGTGGGTTTCACCAAAGTGGTAGCCGTCTACTGAGGTGACGAGGTGTAGCAGGAATACCCTTCACAGTGGCTATAACTAGATACCCTCTCTCAGTCAATCAAAGCTCGATATTGTGAAAATAATTCTTACCATCTGCTGAAGTTGACGTCAGCTCCGATTGCAGACGTGAATGCAGAGCTGATTTGTACTCCCTGACACAGACGGCGGCTACAGCGACAACGATGATGGCGATGACTGCCACTGTTACCACGCTCCCGATGATAATGTTGTGGTAAGAAGGCGACATCCGTGTTACAAACATGATCTGTCCTGCATACAGACTCAGGTTGTTGCCTATTTTAACCTGGTGTGTATGGAGGGAAAGAATGAAATACACAATGCACATATAATGATCATATTTCTCATATGAACAAATCAATATAAGTGTATTCTAAGTTACACTAAGGAGTCTTTCACAATTTCTGGTATGTCTCCCTACTGATGATCAATGTTAAACACGTGTTCGCGGCTGGTAGTAATTACTGCAATGTTCATATACTGTACCGTGATATTCCGGGGCGTATTGGCATCAGTCATTAACACAGGCGTACAAGTGATCAGCGTGCCATTGAAATGAACATTGGAACAATTGCTCGGGCCGATTTCGACTCGAACATCTGTTTCATTGACGCCATCGAAGGTAGCCTAAACAGAAGACATCACACGACTATTACTGCTTCGTCGTATAACCTGAATAGTGGCAAAATGCAGAAGGTTAATACTCAATAACATCTGTAAATCTGAAAACACATCAAGTTTAAGTTGACAGAAAACTAACTTTCATTAATTCTTCGATCCAAGGATGGTCTGTGCCATAGCTATATGATATATATTTAAAGCTGACACACATACGTATATACACTATGATAAGTGAACATATTATCACACACTGACAACTACTGACACACACATGTATATAGAGTGATAAATGAACACATTATCACACACTGACAACCACTGACACACACACATGTATATACAGTGATAGATGAACACATTATCACACACTGACAACCAATGACACACACATGTATATATAGTGATAAATGAACACATTATCACACACTGACAACCACTGACACACACATGTATATTTACATTTAGTACTAACTACTAAATGACTTTATCGCGCGTATCCAAACCATGGGCTAATTACATCTGTAACCCAATCACCCCCCGTAACTCAATCACCCCGGGCCACCACTCGGCACCGTGCCCGGGGAATAATCCCGCGCAAGCATCATCCCGCCCTTTGTTAGTCCGTCATTCGCGAACAGCCCTTCCCAAAGTACACACGTGTGTCACTGTATCTAATCGCTTTCGCTTTGTACGTTTCCTTGGTACCCAGTCGCGACCGTTTCGCCGATTACGCTTTGAATACCATCTATTCCAACACTCGCCGAGAAGAGCAGCCGTCAACCACAAGCTTGTGAGGGGAGCCAAGCAGGCCAGGACAACCAGAAGACAAACCCCGGGAGTACACATTGTACAGGAGGCAACAGCTGATGGTGAGTCTGCCAATTACGGAAATATCGAAGGTGGCAACAGAATTAACGTACAATCGGCGCAGCTTGTAAATGCCGCGCAGGCTGCCAACTCGGCTACCCAGGTAAACGAGCAACTGGAAAAAATACTCCAGTTGCTGGAACATTCAGCGCCCGGCCCGGTTAGCGCAAACCAACAGGTAAGGCTTGGTTTTAGTTCTCCCGCCATTTCGCCCAACATAGGGAGAATCCCCGATGCTTACAACGAGGCCGACGGTGACGCGGCTTGGCCAGCCAATCACATCGCAGGTAAGGTAAATTTTTAAACCAATAAAGCAGCAACCAAAGCGCCTGTCCCTGGCAAGCTGGACTTCAGCTTTCCACATTTTCATGTGTATATATGTTAGTAGGCACTCCGAGGTCCGCACAACCCAGGGGTTGCTGTCCTACATGGAAACCATAAGAACGGCGGCACTTCGATTCGGGGGGGGGGGGGGGGGGGGGGGGGATGTCTGGTCAACCTACGACCAACAATTCCGACACAGAATGTCAAGGGACCCCTCACGACGCTGGGACAACATCGACGGGGAGTTGTGGCTAAAGTACATGGTAACACAGCCGGTACTACAACCAGAATCAGGCGGACGGGGCGCAATGACACGCGTACAGGGGGACATCGCCAGTCAGGTATGCTGGGATTTCAATAAATTTGGCTGTAGCAGGGTCAACTGTAAGTACACTCACAAATGCGGTAAGTGTGGCAAACATGCCCATAGCTCTAGGACCTGCTTTCGAGGGAATGGGGTCCAACCGACCCCATACAAGCCCAATCAGCCTTTTGCCTAACAGAAAACCAGCCGTCAAGGCAGGTAAATTCAATGGCCCCTTCCCCCGTGGATCTCAATGAAATGGCACCCTGGTTACGCCAATATGCTAGGGTCAATTACAGAGATGCAAATTATTTATGGGTAGGTTTTAGCTCTGGCTTTAAGCTCGAGTTCCAGGGAAGCCGCACGGGTCGCCTGGCACGAAACTTGCGTTCAGCCACGCACCAAGACACGGCAGGCTACGTGAAACAAAAACTACAAAAGGAAGTCGACCTTGGCAGGATGGCGGGCCCCTTCAAGGACACCCCCCTTAGACAACCTCCAAGTATCCCCAATAGGCCTGGTGCCCAAGAAGCAGCCAGGATATGGTCAGCACCTGGGTAAGCATGCGGAGGAATTCCGTCTAATTCACCATCTATCCTATCCCAGGGGTAAATCTATAAATAACTTCATAGACACAGAGGCCTGCTCCGTTGTGTACGCCAGATTTGATGAAGCTACCCATATGGTTCAACAACTGGGAAAGGGAGCACTACTAGCAAAATTCGACATTCAGTCGGCCTTTAGAATTATACCAGTCCACCCATCCGATTTCGAGCTGCTAGGCATCAGATTCGAAGGTGAGTTCTATTTCGATAAATGCCTACCATTTGGCTGCTCCATATCTTGCGCCATATTTGAAACGTTTAGTACCTTCTTGCAATGGTGCATGCAATCGCATCTTCCAACGTGTCCGATCATGCATTACCTGGATGACTTCCTAACGGGGGGCACAGCAGGCACCAGCCACTGCTCAGACAACCTCAACAGATGCGTGAATACACTAGAACAGCTTGGGGTTCCTACTGCGCACGACAAGACGGTGGGCCCCACAACCAAATTGACATTTCTAGGGCTGGAAATCGACACCATTGCAATGCAGATCAGAATCCCAGAGTCCAAGATCAAGGAGGCAACAAGGGAAATCCAAGACATTCTGTCAACAGGTAACATCAAGGTCACAAAAAGGGCCCTTCAGTCCCTCATAGGCAAGCTTAACTTTATGTGCAGGGCTATACCAATGGCAAGGGCATTCAGCCGCAGGCTAACCGATCTGCTTAGCAAAGGTAAGCAACCATTTCACCACATTAGGATTACCAGCTGGGTCAAGGAAGACCTACAAATGTGGTTAACATTTCTTACGAGTTATAAAGGCATTTCAGTGTTTCAGGACCAGCTATGGGTGGACAGCGATTTCCTCCAGCTGTTTTCAGACGCAGCGGGTGGCGCCGGCTTTGGGGCCTACATGCAGGGCAAATGGTTTAACGGCGCATGGCCAATTTATTGCATGCCCGGGCGCTTGTTATCTCCACAGGTTTGTGTTTCCTTTCAGTACATAGGCAAGCCGGGCAACAATGCTATCTCCGCGTATCGCGTGGCCGTGGGTGTGGGGTAGCACTCTGGTGCTTTGTGGCGGGGTTCTTGTGGGCTACACTGCTAGTAACAAATTAACTTGCTTCCAAATTAATACTCGTGCTTAAGGCTACCTGCTTTTCAGCGGGAACCTTTCCGGGGTTACCTGCTTCTCAGTGGGAACCTTGTCTTTCCCGACTTTTCAGCCGGGGAATCGTAAAATAACATACGTTGGGGCAAACAATTGCCACGTATATGGGCCCGGCGGCGGAAGTCGTCTTGTCAAGCGGTAGCTGACAGTTGGGTCCGCGGCGTGGGAGCCGCACAATGGTTTTGCTAATGGGGCCGGGCAGTGGGATCTGCTTTGGCCGGCTACCTGGGGCCGGGCAGCGGTAGTCTGACTTAGGCCAGCAGCGTGGAGCTGCTTTTGGCAGCGTGGGAGTTGCCAAACAATGGTAGCGGTTAAATATGCTACCGTGGGGGCCGGACAGCGGAAGCAGTCTCAGGCCAGCAGCGCTAGCTGCAATCGCCGTTGGCCACGCGCGTGGCCATGGCAACGGTAGCATTTTGGTATACACAATTAGCAGCTAAGTAGCCCACTAGTACCTGCACACCCTCGGCCATTGAACCCAATCTCATCTTCTGTTTTTATTATAGGCACGGGCATCCACGGCTCGGTGGCCCGTGCCTCTCCTTGGCATATCGCGGGATAAATAGTGATAAATGAACACATTATCACACACTGACAACCACTGACACACACATGTACATGCAGTGATAGATGAACACATTATCACACACTGACAACCACTGACACAGACATGCACATGTATATATAGTGATATATATTTAGCTGTTGTAAATGCTGTTATATCTTAGTACTTGGCATGTGTAGCTTGTGTATTTACTGGATACCATACTTACTGGTACGTTTAACTGGTGTTTATGTTACATATTATACTCACGAGTATATATTTAGCTGTTGTACATGCTGTTATATCTTAGTACTTGGCATGTGTAGCTTGTGTATTAACTGGATACCATACTTACTGGTACGTTTAACTGGTGTTTATGTTACATATTATACTCACGAGTATATATTTAGCTGTTGTACATGCTGCAGATCGTACTTACAGGTATGTTTAACATATCTCCTTCACTGACCACGACAGGCGTTCGTGAGTATACCAAGGTTGGATCTGGATAGACTGTAATGTTATAATGTTTTATCACTCCGTCCATTATAACAGAAAGGTTGCCAGTTGTTTTATTTCGATTTTCCGTTACGAACGGTGGCGTCACACAAAACACCTTCCCCTGTGTAGGTTTGTTAGTTCTGGTACAATTCTGAAACAAACATACTCAGATGTATATATCTATATACACAGTGACAGAGGAACGAACACATGATTACACTCTCATGCATATCTGTACACACAGTGGTAGATGAACACATGGTTACACACTGACAAACATATCTGAACACACAGTGGTAGATGAACACATGGTTACACACTGACAAACATATATGTACACGCAGTGGTAGATGAACACATGGTTACACACTGACAAACATATCTGTACACGCAGTGTTAGATGAACACATGGTTACACACTGACAAACATATATGTATATGCACTGTGATAGATGAACACATGGTTACACACTGACAAACATATGTTTATATACAGTGATAGGTGAACACATGGTTACACACTGACAAACATATATGTATATACACACAGTGGTAGATGGACACATGGTTACACACTGACAAACATATGTTTATACACTGTGATAGATGAACACATGGTGAGTGTGACATGCTTATGTATATATACACAGTGATAGATGAACACATGGCAAGACAACAACGTACAAATGTATATACGCAGATTAAGGTGAATGCATGGTAGCACACTGACATCCATGCGTATGTAGACAGATGGAAACACTGACATAATATGTATATACACTGTGAAAGATGAATACATGGCTACATTGACAAACATATGTATATCACATCACACACACACACACACACACACACGCACGCACGCACGCACGCACGCACGCACGCACGCACGCACGCACGCACGCACGCACACACACACACAGACACAAAGTATATATATACTGACCCCACATCAGTGTAAATCCATGATAGTTGTTACTGACCGCACACCGTCAGCAACAGCCATTTTGGATTTTCCAACACCCACCTCACATATATCACATGGCAATTCTGGTACACAAATTCGTTATTTAACATTGTTTTGTGTTTTAATATAATTAATTGTGATGAGCAAAGACATTATTCATTTAAAAAACCACGTTCTGGCTTTATTTATAAAAAAATATGGAGAAAAAAAGCTTTTATTATATACTTCAGTGTGAAAGACTGAGTTTTCTTAAGTTGAGAAAAGTGATGTTTCATAGCAGTGAACATAATATCTGATAATTCACTGCAGTGAACATAACACTTTGACGGAACTATTCGTCATACAAGAGTTACATCCCCTTTAATTGTCTCCCTTTATCGTCAGTGTCTACCCCGTACACAAACTGTTGACGTCTTTTTTAAGTTAGTTCCACTTTGGCAGATGGTCGTTTATGGAGTTAATATCACTTCTTGCCGTTTGTTATTCTCTCAAAATTGTTTCGTTATAAACTGTAAATTTCTCATTTAACTCGTCAATCGAGACTGTTCCTTTCGCAAAGCGCCACTTTTGTTACTTGACAAGTGTGTATTCGTTCGCTTCGAACAGCGGTCTCCTATTTTCTTTATACTTTTGTTTATATTGTTGTATATTTTGCAAACCACTTTTTTAGTCTCAAACCCAAGGGTTGGTGAACCATCCCTGTGTGTTAGGTAGGGTTTCACGGTTTTACGTTTTTAATGAAATAGTTTAATTTTCCGGTTGACATCTACACAAAAACAATAGGATATTTCATACGTCTCGAGAATATCATGTTTCTCTCATCTCGTGACGGGGGAAAAGGAGATATTTTCACGAGATTTTCACGATCACGCCACTCGTGAAAATATCTCCATTCCCCAAACTTTGATAAAAAACTCTTTTAATTGTGTAACATGCCGTCAAAGACTTTGACAGAGTTTTTTACGGACTTTGATGGAATAGAAACCGGTCCTATTTCTCGTCAAACTTTGATCAAAGTTTGATGACGTTGATTTAATTTAGCCAATCAGAATGCAAGAAACATTTCCCCTTTTCAACCGGAGGTGCATAGAGTCAAGTCAAAATGAGCCAACTATTTTGGACTGACGAAATGTTAGAAGAATTAATGGATTTGGTTCAACAACGAGCAGCTATTCGTGGGACCAGATATGCCTTTGCCTACCCCGACGCCGCCTTCTCAACATGACAAAACACAAAAGACAGCAAAACATTCTTTGTCAGTAGCATCCATCTTGGCAAAAACTTTGACAGCCTGTCAAAAACTTTGATGAGTGTAAACAGCCCAACTTGAACCAGGAAAACTTGGTCAAAGTTTTCTTTAACCCAATTTTATATCAAAGTTTTTGCTTGTGTAACGGGGGCTTTACAAATAGCAACGTCATAGAACATATTAAAGGATGACGTCACAAACAAGAAACGTGACGCCAAAGACGTCACATAGCAATATCAAGTTGCAGTGGCCCGCAGATTTCTGTTAATTTGCGGGCATTTTTATGATAATTCTATCCATTTTAGCTATGATTGTTTCAACATTCACATTTCAGTGCATGATATATTCCATTGTTAACGTTTGTGTTTACATTTAAGCGTTGTATCGGAAACATATGTACTGACCCTGTCCTGTATGATGGTTGTAAGTGTCAAGTTTTCATTTTGACGTTTTTTACAGTGTTATATTAGGTTAGCAGAAGAAAATATTGGGCGTGGCGTAATAACTTAATATGACACCGTGTACGGCAACTAAATATATATGAAGTGATGGTGACACACAGACACACATGCTGGTATGTAACACGGACAGCCTGGCACAATGATAGGCAACATCCATCCTCTCTCCACGACCCTTGAAGATCCGGGGTAGAATAGGTCTTCAGCAACCCATGCTTGCCGTAAAACGCGACTATGCTTGTCGTAAAAGGCGACTAACGGGATCGGGTGGTCAGTCGTTGACATGGTTGATGCATGTCATCGATCCCAATTGCGTGGATCGATGCTCATGATATCAATCACTGGATTGTCTGGTCCAAACTCGATTATTTACAGACCGCCGTCATATAGCTGGAATATTGCTGAGTGCGGCTTTAAGCAACAAACCAACCAACCAATCTCTCCACATACAAACACACACTTGTAGAAAGATGATTCACTCACCGCACCGTGAGTGCTGTTAAACACAGTCATGTTAATCCGCGGCTGTTGTATTGCGTCAAAGTTCTCCCCCACGACTGTGATTGTCAGACCTCCACTGCAAGCCATACATTAGTTATTAACCAATGAACTTGCTGCCACACTGACATGATGTATTACCTTCCACACAACAACCGACGAATGAGGTTATGGGACCCTGTCGTCCCACTAGAATTATTAAAGATGCAGATAACCTGGAGATATCGGTATAAAAATTATCAGACATATTTAGATGGCTGACAACTAGCCAACAACTTTGATATGATAAGATCTATAAGTGATAAGTGAAATAGGGGATTTTATTAAATTTGAGCACACATGGGACACAAGATCAATATGTACTATTTCGTTGCACTGATTCATCTACATTTCCTGAGCTAATCTCTCTGTGTGTCTCTGTATGTCTGTCTGTCTGTATGTCTGTCTGTCTCTGTCTTCCTCTCTGTCTGTCTATCTTCATCAATGCTCAACAAAAAGTTCCATATTTTTTAAATGAAATTTTAATGCATCTTTCAATGCATAAACATGAAGACATACCCACTAGTTTGAGGTCGTGATTTCATTTTCCACGCACCTTGGGTACGCTGCAAACAGGAATGGCGCAATACGAAGTTGTGAAACGTTTTGATTGTCGCCAAAACACAATATCATATCTTTGGAGACCCATGCCTTGCCAAGGGTAGGTCGTCAACATGACACGTCAACAACCATATTTGGTTGGTGCATCTACGGAATCGATGCCAGTCTGCCACATTAACAGTTCGAACAAATCTTGGGTTGAGACCAGTTAGTAGCAGAGATTTGTTGGCAGCCGGTTGAGAAAGCACAACATCCGGCCCTGGCGTCCATTTTTGCTTCCACTTCACCGTCACCCTTGCCTTACTTGGTGTAGACAGTATCTGAGGTTCAGAAGACAAAACTGGCACAGAATACTGTTCACAGATGAGTCCAGGTTTCATCTGGACATTTCTGGTGGTCGTGCAAGGGTCAATGGGCGTCCAGGAGAAGGCTTTAGCTACGCTTAGTTACTCAGCGTCGTCAGTTTGGAGGTGGGTGTGTAATGGTGTGGGGTGACGTCACAACTCAAGGGAGAACAAAACTCAGCATTGTAAATGGCAATTTGAATGGCGTACGCTCTTGGGGCGACATCGTTCGAGACCATGTTCGACCCTTTGTGCAAATGCAGGGATGTAATGTCACGTTGCAGCAGGATAATATCCGCCCACATGTTGCATGTGTTGAAACAGACTTTTGAGGCAGCATACCATTCAATTTGCTGTTTCTCCAGACCATAGTACATATCTGGGATTAGATGGAACGACGCCTACGTCTGGACCAGAACCGGCCGGGAACGCTAGCTCAGTAGGGCCAATCTTTGGTTGACATTTGGGAAAACATTCCCCTGGTTGTATTCAATCATCTGGTGTCTTCAATGCACCGCCGCTGCCTGTATCAACGCAACTGGTGGTCACATCCTTTCAGGGAGTGCTTCTCTGTCACCAGTCACAAGTTATGGTCAAATTAACACCACTTCGTATCAAGCACAGTTCCGTCAGTATATATATCTGAATACATGAGTATCGATGCTGCTGATATATCTTATACATCACCAACAACCGAGTTCCATGCCGTTGTTCTATTTCTACGCAGACTGTGTAATATACTGGGCGACTGTACATATGAAACTGATTAAATAACTACCAATTTTGCCAACGCTAATTAAAAAACTGGATGCATCCCTTTTCAACGTAACTACATATTACGGAATAACGAATTCTTAATTTCAAATATCAAGTACATTGTCTATCTAAATACTGTGGCGTCGTTAAACATGAAATATGTATAAACAGCGCATACCTCTGTATGGATGTTGTCGGGAATACATCTGTAATGACTGGGTCTGGCGTGATTGTAAAATTGCCAAGTGAGCAGTCAGGAAACTGAACCTTCATCTCATCTTTCTTGACATTTTGATTTTCTTGTCCTGGCTTCTTCCCCAGTGTGCACTGTCTCCTGGTCAAACTGCAATGATAACGCGGACACGAATAGCATAGTTTAGATGACTTAGTCATCGATGCTTCCGAACCCCACACTAACCCCACGTGGCTTCAATCACAAGGGGGGCCCAGTTGTCTAAGGTGCCGCGATTCGCTGTGTAGAGTTGCGGCCCCTGGGCACGCCAGAAACCTATGTTTGTGTCCCGGTTCACCCCCGATTATGTTTCTAGGTTTGTCAGCACCATACCCGTGCTCGTGGGTTTCACCGAAGTGGTAAACGTTTGAGACCTGCATCACTTCGGGCTTTCCGCCCACATTACGCTGACACGCCGCGATATAACTGGAATACTGTTAAAAGCATCGTTAAACCCAACTCACTCACTCACTCAATCACAAGGAGTCAGTTCTAGGTTACAGAGATCGTCACTGACGTCATAATACAGTGTTGAAGGGAGTTGTTCATGCAGTGTTAGTTCACAGGTGTATCAGTTCCATGGGAGTTCAAAACAAACGACAACGTAGTTCCTGGTGACAATAAGGTCCACATAATTAATTTTTACTGAGGCTGGCTTTCAGATACAGGATCGGTGCAAACTGTGCCAGATGAGACTGTTGATTGTGATAATTAATCGTTACTGATCTTGCACGCACCTCCATCTGAGTAATAATGTAGTCCACTGAAGCTGATTTACCTCGTGCCCTTCAGTTGACATTTTCTCCCAGCTACTGCTACTTGATTGTCTGTCTCATTGAATCCACATCCCTCAAACGTGATGACTGTTCCCCCAGGCCCTTTCTTTGGATACCAGTTCTGTAGTAAAACAAATATGTGTGGTACTAGCTGGCGTTTACATGTCCGTTGTTCAAGGCAGGTAGTGTTCCCCTATATGTGTTAGTGTCGTCACCCATTCATAGTTTAATGTATTCACTTTGTGCAGTGAATTGTGACGCTTGAGTTCTATTTAATCTCCGGCTCTGATAAAACAAAGTGTATATCTGAAGTCAGACTGGAATGTACACATTTAATAAGGGATTGTATGTAGTGTGTGATTATTTATATGCGGTTTTAGATGTCCACGATGTTAATAATATATAAAACAATGACATTGTGTATATCTGAAGTCAGACTGGAATGTAGACATTTAATAAGGGATTGTACGTAGTGTGTAATTATTTATATGCGGTTTTATATGTCCACGATGTTAATAATATATAAAACAAAGTGTAAATCTGAAGTGGGACTGGAATGTAGACATTTAATAAGGGATTGTACGTAGTGTGTAATTATTTATATGCGGTTTTATATGTCCACGATGTTAATAATATATAAAACAAAGTGTAAATCTGAAGTGGGACTGGAATGTAGACATTTAATAAGGGATTGTACCTAGTGTGTAATTATTTATATGCGGTTTTATATGTCCACGATGTTAATAATATATAAAACAATGTGTATATCTGAAGTGGGACTGGGGTGTACACATTTAATAAGGGATTGTACGTAGTGTGTAATTATTTATATGCGGTTTTAGATGTCCACGATGTTAATAATATATAAAACAATGTGTATATCTGAAGTGGGACTGGGGTGTACACATGTAATAAGGGATTGTACGTAATGTGTAATTATTTATATGCGGTTTTATATGTCCACGATGTTAATAATATATAAAACAATGTGTACATCTGAAGTGGGGCTGGGGTGTACACATGTAATAAGGGATTGTACGTAGTGTGTGATTATTTATATGCGGTTTTATATGTCCACGATGTTAATAATATATAAAACAATGTGTATATCTGAAGTGGGACTGGGGTGTACACATGTAATAAGGGATTGTACGTTGTGTAATTATTTATATGCGGTTTTACATGTCCACGATGTTAATAATATATAAAACAATGTGTATATCTGAAGTGGGACTGGGGTGTACACATGTAATAAGGGATTGTACGTAATGTGTAATTATTTATATGCGGTTTTATATGTCCACGATGTTAATAATATATAAAACAATGTGTACATCTGAAGTGGGGCTGGGGTGTACACATGTAATAAGGGATTGTACGTAGTGTGTGATTATTTATATGCGGTTTTATATGTCCACGATGTTAATAATATATAAAACAATGTGTATATCTGAAGTGGGACTGGGGTGTACACATGTAATAAGGGATTGTACGTAGTGTGTAATTATTATATGCGATTTTACTTGTCCACGATGTTAATAATATATAAAACAATGTGTATATCCGAAGTCGGACTGGGGTGTACATTATCATTACGGAATTGTAACACTTATTGGGTAGTTATTAGTATGCGGATTAATATGTGTTCGATGTTAATACATGCAGGTCGTACTGAGCTCCATCTGAGTACCTGGACTTTACACGTGCTTCCTCCGCATGCCTCACTGAACACACACTTCTTGCACCAACTACAACGACTGATACGTCTACATTCCTGGCAGCGTCTGCCTTTACAGATGTCAACCTCCTTCACCTGGAAATACAGGGACACAGTTATTTACAAATCCCTTCCGAGTCGAACAGTTCAAGGTTCCATTTCAAAGGACAATATGTTTCGAGAATTGTGAAACGAGTTTTTCTCTATGAATGAACCCATTCCTGTTGTCAGGGGATTTAATGTCAAAAATTTCACCAGCTTAATGAATTTGCCAATTTAGATCCTTTAATGATGTACACCACACGTGGATGGATAGTGTTACAGAGATGCTAGACGCGACTATGTATTGAAAAATACATAGATCAGCTATCAGTGCCCTGAACAATGTTACATAGGACAACAAACATGTGCCTTGAAAAATACATAAATCAGCTATCAGTGCCCTGAACAATGTTACATAGAACAGCAAACATGTGCCTTGAAAAATACATAAATCAGCTATCAGTGCCATGAACAATGTTACATAGGACAACAAACATGTGCCTTGAAAAATACATAGATCAGCTATCAGTGCCCTGAACAATGTTACATAGGACAGCAAACATGTGCCTTGAAAAATACATAGATCAGCTAATATGTGCCCTGAACAATGTTACATAGAACAGCAAACATGTGCCTTGAAAAATACATAAATCAGCTATCAGTGCCCTGAACAATGTTACATAGGACAACAAACATGTGCCTTGAAAAATACATAGATCAGCTATCAGTGCCCTGAACAATGTTACATAGGACAGCAAACATGTGCCTTGAAAAATACATAGATCAGCTAATATGTGTCATGAACGATGTTACGTAGATCAGCAAATATATGCCTTAAACAATGTTACATAGAACAGCAAATATGTGTTCCGAACAATGTTACATAGAACAGCAAACACGTGCCTTGAAAAATACATAAATCGGCAAATATGTGCCCTAAAAATGTTACATAGGACAGCAAACATGTGCCTTGAAAAAAACATACATCAGCTAATATGTGTCCTGAACAATGTTACATAGATCAGCAAGTATATGCCCTTAACAATGTTACATAGAACAGCAAATGTGTGTCCTGAACAATGATATATAGACCAGCAAATGTGTGCATTGAAAAATACTTAGATCAGCACATATGTACCCTGAAAAATACATAGAACAGCAAATATGTGCCCTGAACAATGTTACATTGTAACCACGTGATGGACAGAGAACGCACGACGAGGAAGCCAGTTACACTGGAAGCCAAATTAACTGGATAAAACTACTTTGGCGGGGAGATGATTGCATGGTTTGAAGATTTCATCGTAGGCGGATCGGATGAAATAGCCTCGATCTCTGTTCATAGAAGGCTTGTGGCGGCGAATCTGGGCTACTTCTGCCAGTTTAGTGAAATCATGGAGGTTGTTGGAGACGATTCGGATGATTTTTCAATTGATGTTGTGGTTTGGGCGGTTGCTGATATGGCCCGAGATGGTTGATTTACTGTCTGATTTCATGGTCCAAGATGAAGTAGACCCAATTCCTAAACTTCTACACAATCATAAAGCCTCAGCAATATCTGTATCAACATCATCACTGATGCCGGGCTGTTTTAGCTGCAGTTTGTAACTTGTCTGGCAGGTGGTTCGAAACAGTTTTCTGCCTCGTCGAGGTGTCGTCACTCCGGGCACACTTAACACACTGTGTTGCTGATGGTTGGCACGTTTGGTGACGTTGAAACATTCTCATAGACGATAAATTGTTATTGCTTTGACGATGAAGGCTTTAGCAAGTGTCTACTCTTGCCAGCAGGCTGCAGTCGTCCGATTGCCTCATCTCCATGTTGTCTGTCCATGACTGGTATACCGACAAGATTGATTGCAGGATTGAAATAGTGATGTCTACGGCATACCCAATCATCCAAGTTGAACCATTCAGTCAATTACTGTGCGAAGTGATGCTTTTGATTGGGCTGTAGCGAGCACCCCGGCGCTATTCATTTCATCCAGAATCACGCTTTCGCTGTTATGACCTTACTTTATCGATAGCATGAATATCACGTTTATATATACACTCACCAAAAATGATCAGTCGTCGGAAGGAAGACGAGCTTTGGAAATACCTTCAAGAGAACCAAAACCGAACGCCCTAACTCACCCGAAAGATTGTACATCAACCATTCGATTCCTCCGCGTACGTGAGAATACGTGGGTCATGCTTGATTTTGACACTTCAGAAAAAGGCCGCCGTATCGTCCTTAGCCATAAGTAATGTTCATTTTCATTATCCACAGTAAGATGTACTTGTGACCATAAAGAGAATGTATTGTCTACAACGTGATGAACACCTAAGACATATCGGAACGCTTCAAACTGGTACAACTAACGGACATCAGGAGAACGTCAATGTAAGGTAACACGACAGATTTAGAGATACACCGCCAAATTGTTCTGCTGATTGTGATATTACACCAGTCCTTTTTTTTATTACCCATCCATTACCATCATCCATACCTCTTTGTATTTCTGTATCTTTTATTTTAGAATATCCCCGACATTTTTGTAGAGTACATATTGACACAGGCACGTTACTAACATTCGCGTTTCTTTTGAGGTTCAGTATATTACTATGATTCGATGTATGGCTGACACAATATCATATTGCATGATTGATGCAGTGCAGTGATTGATGTAACATTGACGCAGTGACATGATTGATGCAGTGCTGTGATTAATGTAACATTGACGCAGTGACATGATTGATGCAGTGCGGTGATTAATGTAACATTGACGCAGTGACCTGATTGATGCAGTGCTGTGATTAATGTAACATTGACGCAGTGACATGATTGATGTAGTGCTGTGATTAATGTAACATTGACGCAGTGACATGATTGATGTAGTGCAGTGATTAATGTAGCATTGACGCAGTGACATGATTAATGCAGTGCTGTGATAAATGTAACATTGACGCAGTGACATGATTGATGCAGTGCTGTGATTAATGTAACACTGACGCAGTGACATGATTGATGCAGTGCTGTGATTAATGTAACATTGACGCAGTGACATGATTGATGCATGGCTGTGATTAATGTAACATTGACGCAATGACATGATTGATGCAGTGCTGTGATTAATGTAACATTGACGCAGTGACATGATTGATGAAGTGCAGTGATTAATGTAGCATTGACGCAGTGACATGATTAATGCAGTGCTTTGATTAATGTAACATTGACGCAGTGACATGATTGATGCAGTGCTGTGATTAATGTAACATTGACGCAGTGACATGATTGATGCAGTGCTTTGATTAATGTAACATTGACGCAGTGACATGATTGATGCAGTGCTTTGATTAATGTAATATTGACGCAGTGACATGATTGATGCAGTGCTTTGATTAATGTAACATTGACGCAGTGACATGATTGATGCAGTGCTGTGATTAATGTAGCATTGACGCAGTGACATGATTGATGCAGTGCTGTGATTAATGTAGCATTGACGCAGTGACATGATTGATTCAGTGCTTTGATTAATGTAACATTGACGCAGTGACATGATTGATGCAGTGCTGTGATTAATGTAACATTGACGCAGTGACATGATTGATGTAGTGCAGTGATTAATGTAGCATTGACGCAGTGACATGATTAATGCAGTGCTGTGATTAATGTAACATTGACGCAGTGACATGATTGATGCATGGCTGTGATTAATGTAACATTGACGCAATGACATGATTGATGCAGTGCTGTGATTAATGTAACATTGACGCAGTGACATGATTGATGAAGTGCAGTGATTAATGTAGCATTGACGCAGTGAAATGATTAATGCAGTGCTTTGATTAATGTAACATTGACGCAGTGACATGATTGATGCAGTGCTGTGATTAATGTAACATTGACGCAGTGATATGATTGATGCAGTGCTTTGATTAATGTAACATTGACGCAGTGACATGATTGATGCAGTGCTTTGATTAATGTAATATTGACGCAGTGACATGATTGATGCAGTGCTTTGATTAATGTAACATTGACGCAGTGACATGATTGATGCAGTGCTGTGATTAATGTAGCATTGACGCAGTGACATGATTGATGCAGTGCCGTGATTAATGTAGCATTGACGCAGTGACATGATTGATTCAGTGCTTTGATTAATGTAACATTGACGCAGTGACATGATTGATGCAGTGCTTTGATTAATGTAATATTGACGCAGTGACATGATTGATGCAGTGCTTTGATTAATGTAACATTGACGCAGTGACATGATTGATGCAGTGCTTTGATTAATGTAGCATTGACGCAGTGACATGATTGATGCAGTGCTGTGATTAATGTAGCATTGACGCAGTGACATGATTGATTCAGTGCTTTGATTAATGTAACATTGACGCAGTGACATGATTGATGCAGTGCTGTGATTAATGTAACATTGACGCAGTGACATGATTGATGTATTGCAGTGATTAATGTAGCATTGACGCAGTAAGATGATTGATGCAGTGCTGTGATTAATGTAACACTGACGCAGTGACATGATTGATGCAGTGCTTTGATTAATGTAACATTGACGCAGTGACATGATTGATGCATGGCTGTGATTAATGTAACATTGACGCAATGACATGATTGATGCAGTGCTGTGATTAATGTAACATTGACGCAGTGACATGATTGATGAAGTGCAGTGATTAATGTAGCATTGACGCAGTGACATGATTAATGCAGTGCTTTGATTAATGTAACATTGACGCAGTGACATGATTGATGCAGTACTGTGATTAATGTAACATTGACGCAGTGACATGATTGATGCAGTGCTTTGATTAATGTAACATTGACGCAGTGACATGATTGATGCAGTGCTTTGATTAATGTAATATTGACGCAGTGACATGATTGATGCAGTGCTTTGATTAATGTAACATTGACGCAGTGACATGATTGATGCAGTGCTGTGATTAATGTAGCATTGACGCAGTGACATAATTGATGCAGTGCTGTGATTAATGTAGCATTGACGCAGTGACATGATTGATGCAGTGCTTTGATTAATGTAACATTGACGCAGTGACATGATTGATGCAGTGCTGTGATTAATGTAGCATTGACGCAGTGACATGATTGATGCATGGCTGTGATTAATGTAAAATTGACGCAGTGACATGATTGATGCAGTGCAGTGATTAATGTAGCATTGACGCAGTGACATGATTAATGCAGTGCTATGATTAATGTAACATTGACGCAGTGACATGATTGATGCAGTACTGTGATTAATGTATCATTGACGCAGTGACATGATTGATGCAGTACTGTGATTAATGTAGCATTGACGCAGTGACATGATTGATGCAGTGCTGTGATTGATGTAACATTGACGCAGTGACATGATTGATGCAGTGCTGTGATTAATGTAGCATTGACGCAGTGACATGATTGATGCATGGCTGTGATTAATGTAAAATTGACGCAGTGACATGATTGATGCAGTGCTGTGATTAATGTAGCATTGACGCAGTGACATGATTGATGCATGGCTGTGATTAATGTAACATTGACGCAGTGACATGATTAATGCAGTGCAGTGATTAATGTAGCATTGACGCAGTGACATGATTAATGCAGTGCTATGATTAATGTAACATTGACGCAGTGACATGATTGATGCAGTACTGTGATTAATGTAACATTGATCCAATGACATGATTGATGCAATGCAGTGATTAATGTAACATTGACGCAGTGACATGATTGATGCAGTGCGGTGATTAATGTAACATTGACGCAGTGACATGATTGATGTAGTGCTATGATTAATGTAACATTGACGCAGTGACATGATTGATGCGGTGCGGTGATTAATGTAACATTGACGCAGTGACATGATTGATGCAGTGCTTTGATTAATGTAACATTGACGCAGTGACATGATTGATGCAGTACTGTGATTAATGTAGCATTGACGCAGTGACATGATTGATGCAGTGCTGTGATTGATGTAACATTGACGCAGTGACATGATTGATGCAGTGCTGTGATTAATGTAACATTGACGCAGTGATATGATTGATGCAGTGCGGTGATTATTGTAACACTGACGCAGTGACATGATTGATGTAGTGCGGTGATGAATATAACATTGACGCAGTGACATGATTGATGTAGTGCGGTGATTGATGTAACCTTGACGCAGTGACATGATTGATGCGTGATGCTATGCTTTAGTCCTGTGTTACTGTCACGCGATTGATTCAAGAATTGCTTTTCATTTTTGTGCATGCATCGAAGTATAACAGTTAGAAACTGTATAAAATCGCGTAGCGTAGCGGAACCATTTTATACGAAATTTGTGACAGTTAAACTTCGATGTATAGAAAAAATGTCGCGTGACAGTGACACAAGATAATTCTTATAAATACAAAATCGACCCTCATCTGATATATTTATCCTATTTATCAGGTTTGTTGTCAAGTTTGATCATTTCGCTGCATATCGCAACACGCGCATGATGACACTGAATTAAAAAATGACTTATTTAGAAAAGGTTTTTAAACGAGGATCCAAAATGCCGATGTGGCAGCCAATGTGAAAATTTATATCATTTTTTCATTGAATGTCCTTTATTTTAATCAGCTAGAAACGAATTGATACACTCACTATTGTTAATTGTGAAAGATACTTGTGATGTAAATATTGACCTGATGCTAGTTGGAAATGCAAGTTTACCTAATCATGTGAACGAAAGCATTTTTAGGAATGTACATACATATATAAAGAAAACAAAAAGGTTTGAGTGAGCAGTGTTAATGTACATACGTTTCTCTATCTCTTTCCTTTTCTTTTTGTCATTTGATTTATTAACTGTAAATAAGCATACATGTAAATCTATGGGAGAGGGCGTTCTAAGTTGTGATAACTTGTGCCCATCCCTTTTCATGAGAATTAAATATGTTTAAACTAAACTAATCTATGTTGTGTTGTTTGTGTAAATGTTTTTCTTTCGCCGACGTTATACCTGAGCGAGAAACTATTTTTTATATGATGACGTCATAAAGTATGTGTGTTTTTTGGGGACTAAACGTAGTCAAGGTCGACGTCATTTGGAAAGTAGTTCTGTCATTTCTCGGAAATCGTGCATTTATGATGTCCAAATGCATGTTTTTGTGCATTTATTGAATAAATCGGAGCTCTTGACATTTTTTGATTATATATTATATATTTGCTGAAATGCCAAAATGATGGTTGTAGGAGTACTATACTTGTGTTTCATTAAGCGCGTAGGTAGCTTATGCAATCAATGTTCCACATTCCTATACACATTATCATTTCTTTTTATCTGATGTTTGTGTGTGAGGAAAGGTTCATACATTGTAAAGATATAATGAAAAAAACACTCGCCGTGTTGCTGCTGATGGTGAAGAGGTGCAAGAAGTCGTTGCTGTCTCGGACGACGACACGGCGTGGTAGGGAACTGTCACCGCTGACGCTCATGTTGCTGCTTAACGAGAGGTTCCCATCAACACCGGTCTGTAACAGCAAATTGAGTAAGAAGTGTTAATTATCTACAATGTAATAGTGAGAAGGCTAAAATGAGAGATGAATGTTATTGTGGAGATCTTGGCAAGGTATTTTCTTACGATAACACGTGATTAACAAGGACGTCACATAATTAGTCCTACAGACATCAATACTACTACATACAGATCAACAAGGAAATCACTTACTTAGTCATACAGACATCAATACTACTACAAACAGATCAACGAGGAAGTCACTTACTTAGTTCTACAGACATCAATACTACTACACACAGATCAACGAGGAAGTCACTTATTTAGTCCTACATACATCAATACTACTACATACAGATCAACAAGGAAGTCACTTACTTAGTCCTACAGACATCAATACTACTACATACAGATCAACGAAGAAGTCACTTACTTAGCCCTACAGACATCAATACTACTACATACAGATCAACAAGGAAGTCACTTACTTAGTCATACAGACATCAATACTACTACATACAGATCAACGAGGAAGTCACTTACTTAGTCCTACAGACATCAATACTACTACATACAGATCAACAAGGAAGTCACTTACTTAGTCCTACATACATCAATACTACTACATACAGATCAACAAGGAAGTCACTTACTTAGTCCTACAGACATCAATACTACTACACAGAGATCAACGAGGAAGTCACTTACTTAGTCCTACAGACATCAATACTACTACATACAGATCAACAAGGAAGTCACTTACTTAGTCCTACATACATCAATACTACTACACACAGATCAACGAGGAAGTCACTTACTTAGTCCTACAGATATCAATACTACTTCATACAGATCAACAAGGAAATCACTTACTTAGTCCTGTTGACATCAATACTACATACAGATCAAGAAGGAGGTCATTTACTTAGTCCTACAGACATCAATACTACTATATAGAGATCAACAAGGAAGTCACTTACTTAGTCCTACAGACATCAATACTACATACAGATCAACAAGGAAGTCATTTACTTAGTCCTACAGACATCAATACTACTACATACAGATCAACAAGGAAGTCATTTACTTAGTCCTACAGACATCAATACTACTACATACAGATCAATAAGGAAATCACTTACTTAGTCCTACAGACATCAATACTACATACAGATCAACAAGGAAGTCATTTACTTAGTCCTACAGACATCAATACTACTACATACAGATCAACAAGGAAGTCACTGACTTAGTCCTACAGACATCAATACTACATACAGATCAACAAGGAAGTCATTTACTTAGTCCTACAGACATCAATACTACTACATACAGATCAACAAGGAAATCACTTACTTAGTCCTACAGACATCAATACTACTACATACAGATCAACAAGGAAATCATTTACTTAGTCCTACAGACATCAATACTACTACATACAAATCGACAAGGAAATCATTTACTTAGTCCTACAGACATCAATACTACTACACACAGATCAACAAGGAAATCACTTACTTAGTCCTACATACATCAATACTACTACATACAGATCAACAAGGAAGTCACTTACTTAGTTCTACAGACATCAGTACTACATACAGATTAACAAGGAAATCACTTACTTAGTCCTACAGACATCAATACTACTACACACAGATCAACAAGGAAATAACTTACTTAGTCCTACAGACATCAATACTACTACATACAGATCAACAAGGAAGTCACTTACTTAGTCCTACAGACATCAGTACTACACACAGATCAACAAGGAAGTCACTTACTTAGTCCTACAGACATCAATACTACTACATACAGATCAACAAGGAAGTCACTTACTTAGTCCTACAGACATCAATACTACTACATACAGGTCAACAAGGAAGTCACTTACTTAGTCCTACAGACATCAATACTACTACATACAGGTCAACAAGGAAGTCACTTACTTTGACCTATAGACATCAATACTACATACAGATGAAAAAGGTAGTCACTTACTTAGTCCTACACACACCAATACTACTGCATACAGATCAATAAGGAAGTCACTTACTTAGTCCTACACATACTAATACTACTACATACAGGTCCTTCACACATCAATACTACTTCAGACAGGTTAAGAAGGAAGTCACTTTGTTTGTCCTACAGACATCAATAGTGCATTCAGGTCAACAGGGAAGTCACTTACTAAGTCCTTTTGACATTTATACTACTACATACAGGACAAAAGGAAGTCATGCACTTGGTCCTACACACCCCAATACTACTACACACAGGTCAACAAGGAGGTCACTTACTTCGTCCTACACATACTAATACTACTACATACAGATCAACAAGGAAGTCACTTTCTTCGTCCTACACACACCAATACTACTGCATACAGATCAATAAGGAAGTCACTTACTTTGTCTTATAGACATCCATACTACATACAGATCAAAAAGGAAGTCACGTACTTAGTCCTACACACACCAATACTACTGCATACAGATTAACAAGGAAGTCACTTACTTTGCCCTATGGACATCAATACTACTACATACAGATCAACGAGGAAGTGGCTTACTTAGTCCTACAGACATCAATACTACTACATACAGATCAACAAGGAAGTCACTTACTTAGTCCTACATATATCAATACTACTACACACAGATCAACGAGGAAGTCACTTACTTAGTCCTACAGACATCAATACTACATACAGATCAAGAAGGAGGTCATTTACTTAGTCCTACAGACATCAATACTACTATATAGAGATCAACAAGGAAGTCACTTACTTAGTCCTACAGACATCAATACTACTACATACAGATTAACAAGGAAATCATTTACTTAGTCCTACAGACATCAATACTACTACATACAGATCAACAAGGAAATCATTTACTTAGTCCTACAGACATCAATACTACATACAGATCAACAAGGAAGTCATTTACTTAGTCCTACAGACATCAATACTACTACATACAGATCAACAAGGAAGTCACTGACTTAGTCCTACAGACATCAATACTACATACAGCTCAACAAGGAAGTCATTTACCTAGTCCTACAGACATCAATACTACTACATACAGATCAACAAGGAAATCACTTACTTAGTCCTACAGACATCAATACTACTACATACAGATCAACAAGGAAATCATTTACTTAGTCCTACAGACATCAATACTACTACATACAGATCGACAAGGAAATCATTTACTTAGTCCTACAGACATCAATACTACTACACACAGATCAACAAGGAAATCACTTACTTAGTCCTACATACATCAATACTACTACATACAGATCAACAAGGAAGTCACTGACTTAGTTCTACAGACATCAGTACTACATACAGATTAACAAGGAAATCACTTACTTAGTCCTACAGACATCAATACTACTACACACAGATCAACAAGGAAGTCACTTACTTAGTCCTACAGACATCAATACTACTACATACAGATCAACAAGGAAGTCACTTACTTAGTCCTACACACATCAATACTACTACATACAGGTCAACAAGGAAGTCACTTACTTAGTCCTACAGACATCAATACTACTACATACAGGTCAACAAGGAAGTCACTTACTTTGACCTATAGACATCAATACTACATACAGATCAAAAAGGAAGTCACTTACTTAGTCCTACACACACCAATACTACTGCATACAGATCAATAAGGAAGTCACTAACTTAGTCCTACACATACTAATACTACTACACACAGATCCTTCACACATCAATACTACTTCAGACAGGTTAAGAAGGAAGTCACTTTGTTTGTCCTACAGACATCAATAGTGCATTCAGGTCAACAGGGAAGTCACTTACTAAGTCCTTTTGACATTTATACTACTACATACAGGACAAAAGGAAGTCATGCACTTGGTCCTACACACCCCAATACTACTACACACAGGTCAACAAGGAGGTCACTTACTTCGTCCTACACATACTAATACTACTACATACAGATCAAAAAGGAAGTCACGTACTTAGTCCTACACACACCAATACTACTACATACAGGTCAACAAGGAAGTCACTTACTTTGACCTATAGACATCAATACTACATACAGATCAAAAAGGAAGTCACTTACTTAGTCCTACACACACCAATACTACTGCATACAGATCAATAAGGAAGTCACTTACTTAGTCCTACACATACTAATACTACTACATACAGGTCCTTCACACATCAATACTACTTCAGACAGGTTAAGAAGGAAGTCACTTTGTATGTCCTACAGACATCAATAGTGCATTCAGGTCAACAGGGAAGTCACTTACTAAGTCCTTTTGACATTTATACTACTACATACAGGACAAAAGGATGTCATGCACTTGGTCCTACACACACCAATACTACTACACACAGGTCAACAAGGAGGTCACTTACTTCGTCCTACACATACTAATACTACTACATACAGATCAACAAGGAAGTCACTTTCTTCGTCCTACACACACCAATACTACTGCATACAGATCAATAAGGAAGTCACTTACTTTGTCTTATAGACATCCATACTACATACAGATCAAAAAGGAAGTCACGTACTTAGTCCTACACACATCAATACTACTGCATACAGATTAACAAGGAAGTCACTTACTTAGTCTTACACACATCAATACTACTACAAACAGCTGAACAAGGAAGTCACTTACTTAGTCCTACAGACATCAATACTACTACATACAGATCAACGAGGAAGTGGCTTACTTCGTCCTGCATACATCAATACTACTACATACAGTTCAACAAGGAAGTCACTTACTTAGTCCTACAGACATCAATACAACTACAAACAGATCAACAAGGAAGCCACGTACTTAGTCCTACACACATCAATACTACTACAAACAGCTCAACAAGGAAGTCACTTACTTAGTCCTACAGACATCAATACTACTACAAACAGATCAACAAGGAAGTCACTTACTTAGTCCTACAGACATCAATACAACTACAAACAGATCAACAAGGAAGTCACTTACTTAGTCCTACACACACCAATACTACTACACGAAGGTCAACAAGGAAGTCACTTACTTCGTCCTACACATACTAATACTACTACATACAGATCAACAAGGAAGTCACTTACTTCGTCCTACACACACCAATACTACTACATACAGGTCAACAAGGAAGTCACTTACTTCGTCCTACACATACTAATACTACTACATACAGGTCAACAAGGAAGTCACTTACTTAGTCCTACACACAACAATACGACTGCATACAGATTAATAAGGAAGTCACTTTAGTCCTACAGACATCAATAGTGCATACAGATCAATAAGGAAGTCACTTACTTAGTCCTGTTGACATCAATACTACATGCAGATCAACAGGGAAGTCACTTACTTAATCCCAAATACATCAATACTACATACAGATCAACAAGGAAGTCACTTACTTAGTCCTACACACACCAATAATACTACATACAGGTCAACACGGAAGGTTAAGAAGGAAGTCACTTAGTTTGTCCTACAGACATCAACAGTGCATTCAGGTCAACATGGAAGTCACTTACTTAGTCCTTTAGACATCACTACTACTACATACAGATCAGCAAGGAAGTCACTTACTTAGTCCTATAGACATCAATACTACTACAAACAGATCATTAACGAAATTACTTACTTAGTCCTACAAACATCAATACTACTACATACAGATCAACGAGGAAGTCACTTACTTAGTTCTTTAGACATCAATACCACATACAGATCAACAAGAAAGTCACTTACTAAGTCCTATAAATATCCATACTACATACAGGTCAACAAGGAAGTCACGTACTTAGTCCTACACACATCTATACTACATACAGATCAACAAGGAAGTCACTTACTTACTCCTACAGACATCAATACTACCACATACAGATCAACAAGGAAGTCACTTACTTACTCCTACAGACATCAATACTACTACATACAGGTCAACAAGGAAGTCACTTACCCAGTCGTATAGACATCCATACTACATACAGGTCAACAAGGAAGTCAAGTTCTTAGTCCTATAGACATGAAAACTACATACAGATCAACAAGGAAATCACTTACTTATAATTAGTCCTACATAGAGATCAACAAGGAAATCACTTACTTAGTCCTTTAGGCATCAATACTACGTATCAATACTACTACACTCCAATACACTCCACTACATTACACCGCACCGCACCGCACCGCACCGCACCGCACCACACCACACCACACCACACCACACCACACTACACTACACACTTTGAAGATCAACAAAGATGTTACTTACCGTAAGTTGCAGTACTTCTCCAGCGGAAGTAGCAACGTTGACGGTTTCTGCTTCACTCGGAAGCACTGTGGTAATTACAATCGTGTTGTTTCGGTAGACTGCATTGAAGTCCGATTTAAAGCTTTTATAATTAAATAGTTTTTGGTTGTCCGTTATTAGGAATGTTCCTTGACATTGAGTTCGCTGGCACACTTTACACTGTCCGTCCTGCAATAACCAAATGTTCAGGATTTACGATGATCACTTCCTAAATATAACTGTTATTGGGTCAGTATTTCTGAGAGCGATGTGATGTTTTTATATAATATATACGCGATCGGAGATCCGTTGTAAGACACCACAAACACTATCTATCTGAACACATTTGGAAATTATTTGTCAATTTGTCCAAGACATTTTCTTCTCTCTAATACATGAATGAACACGTCCCATTTTAATTCTGGAAACCCAAAAGTCCAGAAACTCTACGCTCTTTGCCCAGTATCGGTTAAAGGTATTTACAAAATTAAACATGCCGTTTTCATGGGAACATACCAAGGAAGAAAAAATGAAAAAAAAATTGTTTAAAAACTCAATATTTAGACTATGTCGCCCATGGGCCTGCCCATGGGCGAAGTGTGGCCCATGGGCCTGCCCATGGGCGAAGTCTGGCCCATGGGTAGGCCCATGGGCAGGCCCATGGGTAGGCCCATGGGCAGGCCCATGGGCGAGAATATGTTCCTTTACTTAAAACTCATGTTTTTGTTTCGCAAATACATTTAATGTATTTATTGAAGTATCATGACACAAAATTTAACTCATTTTAACTTAATTCAACGATTTTATAGCGATATTGAAATATTTCGCCAATGGGCGAGAAAAAGGTTTGGCCCATGGGCGAGAATATGTTCCTTTACTTAAAACTCATGATTTTGTTTCGCAAATACATTAAATGTATTTATTGAAGTATCATGACACAAAATTTAACTCATTTTAACTTAATTCAACTATTTTATAGCGATATTGAAATATTTCGCCCATGGGCGAGAAAAGGTTTGGCCCATGGGTAGGCCCATGGGCAGGCCCATGGGCGAGAATATGTTCCTTTACTTAAAACTCATGATTTTGTTTCGCAAATACATTTAATGTATTTATTGAAGTATTACGACACAAAATTTAACTCATTTTAACTTAATTCAACGATTTTATAGCGATATTGAAATATTTCGCCCATGGGCGAGAAAAAGGTTTGGCCCATGGGCGAGAACATGTTCCTTTACTTAAAAGTCATGATTTTGTTTCGCAAATACATTAAATGTATTTATTGAAGTATCATGACACAAAATTTAACTCATTTTAACTTAATTCAACTATTTTATAGCGATATTGAAATATTTCGCCCATGGGCGAGAAAAGGTTTGGCCCATGGGTAGGCCCATGGGCAGGCCCATGGGCGAGAATATGTTCCTTTACTTAAAACTCATGATTTTGTTTCGCAAATACATTTAATGTATTTATTGAAGTATTACGACACAAAATTTAACTCATTTTAACTTAATTCAACGATTTTATAGCGATATTGAAATATTTCGCCCATGGGCGAGAAAAAGGTTTGGCCCATGGGCGAGAACATGTTCCTTTACTTAAAACTCATGTTTTTGTTTCGCAAATACATTTAATGTATTCATTCAAGTATCATGACACAAAATTTAACTCATTTTAACTTAATTCAACGATTTTATAGCGATATTGAAATATTTCGCCCATGGGCGAGAAAAGGTTTGGCCCATGGGTAGGCCCATGGGTAGGCCCATGGGCAGGCCCATGGGCGAGAATATGTTCCTTTACTTAAAACTCATGTTTTTGTTTCGCAAATACATTTAATGTATTCATTCAAGTACCATGACACAAAATTTAACTCATTTTAACTTAATTCAACGATTTTATAGCGATATTGAAATATTTCGCCCATGGGCGAGAAAAGGTTTGGCCCATGGGCAGGCCCATGGGCGAGAACATGTTCCTTTACTCAAAACTCGTGTTTTTGTAGCGATCTTTAATGAACCCGGCCTTACCTCTCAAAACGTTTTGACAGTTTATCATACGAATTCATGTGTGTGTACTCCAATTCATTGGAGTTATTTTCCACAACATTTAATTTTAGTTAGTTTCTATTTCATTTCCCGTTTTTTTTGTCCCGTTGATACATCACACTGGGCAATTACGTGACACTAGGTATGCAATATACAGGTACGCGTGCGCGTATTTTAATGAAAAAAAACTATTCGTCTTTTATTGCATAACCTTTGGCTAAATATCTTACATTCTAACGAAATCTCGAAATAATTATTTAATTACAAGCAGTGTCGAACTGACCAGTAGGAATTATGTTTCAATGCGATTGAGGAAAACGTGAGTGAATATTGTGACACTAAAGCAACTTTTAACTGCATTGTCACTTTTGGTATGAAAATGGTAATAGTTAAGAAAAACGTAACAGCCTTCTTATGATAATTCTCATATTCTCATTAGTACGTTGTGTCTAATTACAGTGTCGGCCTTATTTACAGGTGATTCTACAATACTTGTTGTCGGTCAATTACAATCTGCCACACCACGCGTGAATAAACATTTATGCAGGTGTTGCTGTGGGCAAATACCTAGCCTGTACATGTATATTTTTGTGGATACATGTATTACACATTTTCGTTGATATGTGGATATATTAAGCACCAAGACATAAAAAGTTTATGAAAGATGAATTTGTGCCTTGATATATATATTCAACGCGAACGAAGCTTGTATTTTCTCCGCGATCCTGATGTGTATCATCGTTTAATTGGTCATTCATTAAAAGTATGTTGTGAGGCGATATCAAAGGAGCCGCTCAATATACACAGTGTCGTCCGTTTCGCGTGAACTACCACCCTACCCTGTCAGTAAGAGTTATGTAATCGGTACACAAATATATTTGGTGCGATGTCAGTGTGGAAGGAGTTTGAATTACGTCCGCCAGTGGCCACAGAAAGTATAGTACCAATCAACAAGGCCAATGCCGTACTAATAACCTAGTGACTCTCGTAACAACGGCTGTCAATATGTCTGCTACATCTACCATACCATCATCCCTGTCACAACTGGCGTATTAACGGTTTATTCAACAAATTATTGTAGAAATGTCGTTACCAGACTAACGTACGTCGTATTCAGTCCTCAACTGGATGTCACATTCCTTATATCAGTTAACAGCCCTGTTTGTGAAAATATTTACTAGACATAAGATTTAAAGACTAATAAAATCAATTGTAAGACCGCATAGACCATAAAACCGAATAAAATATGTCTTGGTATCATCTCTTGTGTATTAGATGATGGCAATGACCGGAAATGTTATAACGTTAGATTAAGAAGGAGAAACATTAAAGTGTTTTACAATACTTGGAAACATGAGCAATAAGATGTAGCAACATAAACATGCATGGAATAGGGACAAAGGATGAAAACAAATTGAAAAGGATTTTAATACAAAATTAATCGAACTAAATAACTTGCCTGAACAGAAGGGGTACCCAAACTTGTTTGACAGTTATTCGTGTGTTGTAGACTGTCGAATCGGACTCATGTGTGTACGTAGGGTACGCATATCTATTGCAAGTTTTAGTACTCATACACTTTCTCTTTTTGTGTTTTGTTTGTTTGTTAGTTGTATAACGCCACACTTAGCAATATTTCAGCTGTATGACGGCGGTCTGTAAATAATCGAGTCTGGACCAGACAATCCAGTGATTGACATCATGTGCATCGATCCACGCAATTGGGATACGATGACATGCATCAACCAAGTCAGCGAGCCTGACCACCCGATCCCGGTAGTCGCTTCTTACGACAAGCGCTGTCGCCCTTTTACGCCAAGAATGGTTTGTTGAAGATCTTCACGGGTCTATTGAATGCAGGGATTTGTATAAAGTCATCAGACAGCATACAATGCCAACTAAAAAAATATACTCAGTGACTCCGCAAAGTAATATAGTACGGTACTTAGAGTACATGTGAGATTATACTCGGATTAGGGAGATGTTTAATCCATATAACGTGTTATTATTCTACCTAACAATGTATTTAATGAAATGAGTGCAAAACAAACTCAACGGCTAAAAGGTTTCATTGAAAAAACTACCCCTAGTCTTGACTAATAAAACAACTGCAACCCGACACAGATTAAACGCAACTTACAAACACAATCATAATCTGGTTAGTCTGTATCACTCAACGAGGCCGCTTACTCTGCCCACAGTATGACAGTATTGGGCAGTTCAGTAATTAGGAGCCAAAACCAGACAGGTACGCTGGTCACACTTGACTGGTCTAACTGATGATTAGGTCGTCTGACAATTGGGAGTGAACCATAGCAAGAAGTATCTGCGAAACTATTTGCTCCTTTTATGGGACCGATTAGTTTTATGACCATGGGCCTCGGCACAAGCGTGGTGTTGGAAGACAAGTTATACATGTACATCCGATATGGTGACTGTTTTTCGCTATTCATATTGTAAATACATTCATAATACCACAACATTTTAGTACTCCTTGAAACTTTACAATCACTTCAATATGTACAATAGATTGAACGAGAACACTTGATATATTGCAGATTATTAAATCATTGTCTCTATTATCAGCCGCTACGTTTGTATCGTTTGCATTGTACAAAGAAATATTTTATCTGTCCTTTTGCAGATTTAGCCTCAGAATGTGCTCATTCGAATTAGGAACGAAAATAATTGCTTGTCGTGAGTATATATGATACAGTTAAAAGTTACTTGTACACTGTAGACGTATTCACTTTAAAGTCGCATACGACCTTCGCGAGCGAGTTGAATGATCCAGGTTAATTGGAACGAAGTCTAGAAAGGGTTATAAAGTTTTGTATTTGGTAATGTGTAGGTTTGTTAAATATAATTTTTTAAATTCCTTTTATTTCAATATGTAAAAACATAACTATGCGCTTAAAAACAGAGCTGACTTGATGGGAGATAGCCACCTCAGTTTGTCTGTTGGACACGGTTTAACCTTACTGTGTCCTCACCCTGGTTGTTGTTACCGTTGTTATAAGGGATTAAGAGCTACGGCTCATTGCATTTTTGGTTACAGTCTGTATCACTAAAGTGGACATGTGCAGGTGAACTCTGTTCAATTAGTATATGAAATGCCCCAAAATGTGAACTCCA